ATTTCAATGCTCAATGCCTTTGTATTCATTTATAGGAATTGCATGAAGCACATTTTCTATGCCATTCAATCAAAAAAAAATTTAGCTTTAAAAAGTAAATTGTGAATACTGGTTAATTCAAAATTCTAAATAGGAAATGCAGTTTTTTCAATCTAATTCAATTCAAAAAAAGTTTTTTCGTAAAAATGGATCATAAATGTTATTCAATTAAAAATTGTGACTAAGAAATGCAATTATTTCAATTCATTTAAATCAAAAAATATATTAATATTACATTATATTCCCATTAATGAAAAAGGAATCATATAGATGGAAGGATAGATATGGTAGGGAAAGGGAAAATTAATATAATAGAAATGAATGGGGTATTGAGGCAAATGAAGTAAGAGAGAATAATAGGGAGGATATGGAGAAAATTAATAAATAGGGAAAGAGACACACAAAGACAATATGAGGAAAGTAGAATTCAGAAGGTAAAATATAATTGGGTATATTTTAGAAAACAAGGATAAAAGGCAGAGGTATGAATCATTTACGAAAAGAAAATTTAGGAGAAGTAGGAAGAGGAGATGAAGTAAGAGCTTTGATAAAACTAAGATGCGGGAATAGTTAGAGAATAAGTACTGGATATAAGAAAGGGATTTATTTTGTAAGAAAGAAATGGACAGTATAAATCATGTAAGGGAATGTCAAGAAACGAAAGAATGGTTTGTAGAGATGGAGAAAGATGAGGAAGAAGTTTTAAATAGGATAAGGTCGGAAATTTTGGATGAGGCGAAAGGATAGATACTAAAGAAACTGTGGAAGAAAAGAGAAAAAGAGTTAAGGAAAAGAGAGGAAAGGAAAGAAAAGAAAGGAGAAGGAGGGAATAGGATAAGAATAGGAAAATTAATAAGGTTGACAACTATAAATAGTTGTAAAGTAAGCGTAATGGAAAATGGTTGAGGTAAATGCGAATGTAAGGAAATGTAAAAGTAAATGTAAAGATGATTGCATATGTAGATTATAAAAAAAAGAAATTGAGAAGGCTGTGAGTTCTAAACGCCGAGCAGTGATAGTAAATTCTGTGATAGTTGGTTAGTTAAGCGTATAGGATATAATTAGAATATAGAGATAGGAATAGGATATGGATGGATGAGTGATAAGGTATTAACTGTAAATCAAGTCCCCTTTTTGGCTTGTAATATGCTAAAGGAATAAATATTCTATTCTATTCTATATTCCCACTAAACGGAAATGGATTAAAACTTCAAATCATGGATTAAAATTAATTGAAATGGATTGGCCTTTGTGAAAATGAATGCATTTTTATAAAGGCAAATCCATTTCAATCCATGGTTCAGAAAATTTCAATTCATTTCAATAAAAAAAAATATTTTAATCCATTTCCGTTTACTGGGTTCGTATTATGAAAAAATAGAAATGCATTTATTTCCACGGAGACCAAATCCATTTCAATCTATAAATTAAAAAATTTTAATCCATTTTAATCTTTTCTCATTTAAAGTTTGGGTAAACTTCTCACAGTTGTTTACTTACAATAGTGGATGCAGTGACTAAACCAAACATCGGTACTCCAGCATTTGCCAAAGCTAAACTAGCTGCGATTATTGCCGCAGCCAGCGCAGATCCCCCATTGTCGAGGACTGTCGCATAGACGTCGACTTGAAAATTAGGAAACTCTTGCTGAAATAAAAGATGGAATAACTGATATTTAAGATATATTTTTAAAATTGTACAAACTATCAGTTTTACAATAATTTTCTGCATATTTTAAGAAAAAAAAATCAATGAGAAAAAGACAAGTAGATATGTACCAGACATACTGCTGGTTCCAAAGCTCTTTGCAATATCAAGCTATATTCCTTTTCCTCCGCGTTTTGCTGATGCAATTTCCGTTTACGATGAGAGAAGGGTGCAAATTTGAATTCGCAAAACAGTTCCCCTTGCACGCAATAGCCAGTTTTGTTCGGTATCTCTCTAGGATCAAATACCGAGCAGATAACTTTGGTGTCGCCCATCTCTATGTATGCAGAACCTTTTGCCTGACTAATTATGCCTGTTTTCAAAACTGTCAACAAAGTAAATTTACATGTACTTTTTATAAAACTTAACTAAAAAATTTAATTTTTATAATGGCAACTTTGATTAAACTCTGATTAATTTACTTGACACAATTATTTAAAATAAAATTTCTAAATAATTTATCATTTTATTTAATGTCTATATACACTGCTCAAAAAAATTATGGCATAGAAAAATTTTGGGCAAAATTTGGCCAACTTTGGCCGACGATAACTCCGCGAAAAATCAACGTAGAATGATGAATTTTTTTTTTAAATTGAAATTTCTTTAAGGTACTGTGGGTCGATTTTAAATTTAATGCATCCCTGTTATTATAAACTCTTAAATCTGAGAGCATGTTTGCCACACTGAAAATTACAAAGTTTGATGGAATGCACGGACTTGCTAAAATTTTTCGGTCAATCTGCCAACCTTTCTATGATGCACATAGGGTAATGCCGATCGTACAAGAGAAAAATACAAGGATTACTTTAAAATGCTTTATGAAAACCGTAGCGACTTGCATTTTTTTTTTCAAATTAAAGAGAAAAATTCGAGCTTTATAACGCTGCAATCGGCATTCCCGAGAAAACTTTTAACAAGTCTGTATATTTTGTCAAACTTTTCAATTTTCAATACGGCAAAGATTTCTCAGATTTAAGAGTTTACAGTAACAGGGGTGTATTAAATTTAAAATCGACCCAAATTCCTTAGAGATTTCAAGCTTTAATTAAAAAAAAAAGTTAAACATATTACGATGATTTATCGCGGAATTATTGTCAGCCAAATTTGGCTAATTTTTGCCCTAAATTTTTCGATAACATAATTTTTCTGAGCAGTGTATTAAAAAAAAGCTAATATTAATTTTATCTACGTGAAAATATTGTAAATATTTCTTAACAAGTTAATAGTTGACCTAATTTAACGAGCATTTGACGAGCGTAACTATAGTAACTTTCTATTAAATTTTTTTAGTTTCGAAGATACATGCAAACGTATTTACGATGTGTATTTGATTAATCATCTTAATGCATAAGTGTATCAGTTTAGTACATACATCATTCTTTAAATGCATTATAGAAATTAAGATAATTTAATAGAAAGTTTCTAGTTAGTACGTGTATCAAGCACTCAATTAGTAAATTAGGTCAATCGTTGATTAAATTTAATCAGACTTTAATTGAAGTTACTCTAAGCTTTGTCGAATTTGTATACGTGACATAACCTCAATCTTACATATATTTCTAAGTTCGTTATTTGAGCGATTGTCGTGCCTTTTCGGGGCATTAGGTTGTGTTCCATTGTCTTTCACTTCGGAGTGTATATAAATATCATATGATGTAGACGCGTCTGGCCCATTAATACGTTTTTGATCGACCGGCATCGTTGATATCCTCTTCCTTTCTTATAAAATTTTTAGGCCGGCCAGGACCTTAGCACATTCAACATATAGGTATAAATGGAAGGGGAATGGGGAATCAAAAAGCGTCCGATGGAAGTGAGAAAGGAAATCATATACCCTTTGAGTATATAGATACCTGGAGGTGGAATGCCTGTTCTCTGCAGGCCGCAAGCGAGTCCAAGAGTGGCAAGGAGTGCGAGAGAGAAAGGTATACGAGCGATAC